AGAGAGAAAACACATTCCCTGTATTACATGTGATTTAGGTTAAAACAAATTCTGCCACCAAGGTACCAAGGCACCAGGCTCTGAAGAGGTAGCAATCCAGAGATTAGAAGAAACAACATTTAATCAGTGAAACTTCTTTCAGCATAAACCTTAAATTAGATATTGATATGGCCTTTTTGTGGAGTGGCTGTGGTTTATTCCTCTTTCCTAGTTCAGTTCTCTACATTTAAGTTTTTCCTTGTTTTATTTACTCTATAGTTTCTTCATTTTATCCTTTTCTGCTCGCTAACTGTATTGATTTTCCTACACCATGTTCATCTTGTGTTGTAGGAGATTCCAAGCTGAATGGAACTCACCAAAAACAATTTACTGATAAAAATAATTTAGCAGAGTATTCTCAGTTTTTGAACTGAACCCATTTTCCTGAGATGTATGAGCTTTGATGAAGTTTTTGCCAGGGATTATTTGGATTCAGGTCACTTTGGTGTTAGGAAAAGGGGCAGAGACAGACAAATCTGCACCATGTGTCATGGTGTGAATTTAGATAAGAGAGCTGCTGCTCTGAAAATTTTCTTTGCTCAAGCAAAAGGGGAACTGGTTGTGCACACTGGTGACATGCCTCTGTGTGGAAAAGCACATTTGACAGGTAGGCAGTCTTTCTTTCTTCTTCCATTTTCACAAAAATGTCCAAATGAGATTTAATTTCCTTTCCTCCTTTGAGCAAACCTTAGATTTCAAACCTCTAAATCTGCTGTACAATGGAGCTGCCCTCCATTTACACTTCTAGCAGGTGGATGTCAGACTGGCCCTGTGAAGGCAACCAGATCTGAGAGCTGGTCACAGCCAGTGCTGTGGCATCAACTCAGAACATCTCTAGACTAGACCAGAATTCCTACTCCTTACCTGGTGGTTTACATGAAAAGCAGGGCTATTAGGAATGGATATTTCCAATCTGTGCAATAAAACATCATATTATCTCAATAGGAGCTTAGCCTGCAGATTTACTCACTTTGGTAACTCTTAATTTTTCTCCTTTATCTTCTACATTTCCTTCTTCCTCAGGCTTCAGTTCTCTCTTCCTTTCTCAGTCTCTCTCTGCCAAAATTCAAGCAGTGAAAACAATTAGTATACTTATATGTGATTGAGATTTCATGAAGTTAATGACCCAGAGGACTGATGGAACAGTGTTGGTCATGGTTCCAAGAGACTGTCTCAGACTATTTGTAGACTCAGGAAGATAGCATTACATCAATTGCCATTTAGTTCAGTTTTTTCCTAGTTATTTTTGCAATCTGAGACCAGAAATTCATGTTCTTTTTTTCTAGTGACCGCTTAGAGCTAGCAGAGTTCAGTTATTCCACAGAGGTCACATAATTACATTGCACGGTTGGATGTTTAGGGGGTTGACAGCTCATACTTACTATTCCAAAGGGAAACAGCAGTCTGGGCTGCTTGGAGGAGGCATCAGGGTACTTTGTGTCTGCAGAGGACCGGCTGGATCTCCCTGGTAACTTGGGAAAATCGTTCCTTGCACATGCTGTGGTGAACACTTCCAGAAGCTTGTTCTGGTCAGTAGAGATGTTCTTTACTTTCCTGGCATCTCCTTTTGTATTGGGTCTGGCCCAGTGATAGAGTGGGCTTTGGTGGGCATCTGGCCTCTAGCCAGGGTCAACCCACCACACCTTTAAATCAGAATCCTGTGCATTGATAATTTCATTATGGATTTCATTATTTCTTTAGTATGGCTTGCACTCTGCATGTGCCCATGCAGGTCTAGCACCCCGCCCCCACTATGGTGAACAGCAAAGACACAAATTAATTTCTCCAAACAGGCAGAAGAGCTTCTGCAGATCAGGGAGCAACCTTCTAGATGAAGTTGTCTGAGAGTTTAAAGGCTGTGCTAGAGTAGCAGGTCTTAATCTTGGCTCTCGTAGCCATACTGCAATCAAAGACCTGGCAGAAAAAAAATATCCTGGCTTGGGAATGTCTGGAAAGCTGCAGTGCAAAATGACTGGTGGTATCAGCTCCTAGGATATCTGGAAGGACAGCCTGTCCCAGCACATCCTGTCTTATTCTTTGTTGTATCTTTACCTATTTCCACTTCTGTCATTTATCAAATAGAAAAATACAGTCAAAGCTGTAAGGGGTGCATTTAGGACCTAGCCAGTCATGCAGAGAGAGGGAGGTTCTCTCTCAGGTTCACCATGTGCTCTGGAGAAGCTGGTGGGAGAAGCACCTTTCCTGGTGCAGGAAAAGATCACCTGTTTGACTTAACAGCCCACTGGCAATCATTCCTAGGCTACCAATCCCACAAAGAGCTGAAACATCACTTCAACTGATATTTTAGCAGCTCTGGATTGAGTAACAGTCCCTTCTTGCAGTGCCCATCCTCCTAGATCTTGGGCTGCAGCATAGTGTCAGGAATATAGCCCACGTCTCTGTACCTGAGGTCCTTCTGTGACACATAGCGATATTTCCAGGAAAACGCCGAAAACTGATCAGTGGAGAGTTTGAAATAATTTCTTTAAGAAGAAAAATAAGAAAACAACCCAAAGAAAGAACAACCAAGCCACACAACAGATTTCCAGCTAATTTGGAAGGTATTTTTCCATGTACACAGCACAAAAAGTACTGCACATACCTGCTGCTCCATTGGATCTTCTTGACTCCAGCTGGGCCCCTGCAGCCTCGGAGAGCCGGCAGAGCTCAGAGACTTGCACCCACACTGCCTGGCCAGCTCCCACCCTCACCAGGGTGCAGCAGAGGAGCTGTGGGCAGTAGGAGAGTTTGGTCTCAAGAGTCAAAGCAACTTTAGGTTCAAGGAAGTGGGATGTTCACTGACCTACCAAAAGGTTCCTCTTTCAATAGCAACAGCATGGGCCATGATTTTTCACCATATTGAAGCCCTTGTGAGAATCTTCAATTAATCTTACTTCAACTAATGGATTTTTTAATCTACCTCTGAATAAAGACAACAAACACTTGCCTGGAGAGTAAGTGAGCTCTGTGTGGTAACAGTGGACTGTGCCTGCAGCACCTGCTGTGGGTGGAAGGTTTTACATCCTTATCTCATTAACTGGTGATTTATCTCTGAACCAAACCATCAATTTGTCTTTCTGCTTCCCCAGACGACATCCTTGGCCTGAGGAAGCCAGGCTTTGTACTAGAGACTTCTCTTTCAACAAGAGAAGCAAGGGCTGGAATTTGGAGATTAATTATGACTTACAGCAGTAGTTAAGGACTACTGTGTCTTGTCACAGTCCTTGGTGAATTGGGTCAAAAAAGTGTATGGCCAGGGTTGACCAGGGAGCCTCACGTAGACAGTAACAGCTGTATTTCCTTTGGGTCAGGGAAGACACAGGGGCTTGGAGCACCACAGCTGTGTATTTCTATTAGTTCTACCCCAAGGAGCGCGAGTTTCACACTGGGAGTGCACTGTGCTGGATGTTGTGCAGCCCAGCACCTACACCATGGTTTTTCTAAAACAAGAGTGTAGATGGTGCAAGGAGACCCTCCTGGGTAGCACGATACACCAGAACGAGCAGAGCAACAAGCCAGTGCTGTGATGGTCAGTGATGGGGAGGGGGGATGGAAGGTGCCTGGGGGCTGCCAAGGGGGACTCCCCAAAAGGGAGATGAAAGTGCAGGATGGTGACAAGTGGGCATGGGGGTTGTTGGGTCCGGTGCCTGGGGCAGCCTCAGGTCAAGCCTGAGTGACAGTAAGAAGGAAGTGGGGAGCCCATGAAGTGCTTCTACATGCACATGTGCACAAAATCAGGTTGCTTACCTATAAGGAGAAAAAGGAGAATTCTTCTGAAGCGATTCAATGGAAGGAAATGTGGTCAAACAACTTAGGAGAGACACAGAAGGAGCCAGGGCTGATGGTTGAGGGAGGAAATCTTCCCCCTTCAAGTCACTATCCTGTGTAACACATGGCAAATGCCATTGCAGGCTTACCTCTCCCCGTACTCTGGGCCTGAAGGGTGCAAGGCCCATGACTTTGCAGCACAGGTGTTCTCATTAATACTGTATGTGCTTCTCTATAGAAGTGGAAGGTACTTGCTGATTTCTTTCTTTGGGATTCTTCACTAGGCCATGTTTGAGCTGGTTACTTCTGAAGCCTCGTATTACAAGAGTCTGAATCTGCTGGTGTCTCACTTCATGGAGAACGAGCGTCTGAAAAAGATCTTACACCAGTCTGAGGCACACATCCTCTTCTCCAATGTCCTGGATGTCATGGCTGTTAGCGAGCGGTAAGACAACTGCTGCGGGTTTTTTGTCCAGCTGAGGGAGGGAGGAGCTGACTAGGGGCAGGCTGTTGCCCGCTGGTTTTTTTAAAGAGCCTGTGGACAACATTCATTGCTTTGAACCCCAAGGGCTTCTTCTGGGAATTACCTGGGACAGACAAGTCACAATTAATATGAGCACTGGGTTTCTCGTCTAGCTTCCTGTCGGACCTTGAGCAGCGGGTGGAGGAGAATATTGTGATCTCAGATGTGTGTGATATTGTCTACCAGCATACGGTTAATCACTTCTCTGTGTACATCACCTACGTCTCCAACCAGACCTACCAGGAGAGAGCTTACAAGCAGCTTCTGTGAGTTCCAGTGCCTGATGATACATTATTTTGCAAAATTGTATAGGCCATGGATTTAGCTGTAATTTTGATATTTATGAGAAAAGGCTAGATAGTACTAAATAGTACAGAAACAGCATTTCCCACTTCACTGATTTTTCACTGCACCCATAAAAAGAAAACACAATTAAAAGGCTTTATAGTGAGGGTGGGGTGATACAGTATGCAGGTAACATACCAAGTAAATTCAGAGCCAGCAGTTCCCAGCTGTGGGAAATATTTATGGTGTGCACAGAGACACACACTTGGGAAAGGTATGTATTTTTAAACTGCAAGTAGAGGCAAGAGATTGAAAGGCCAAGAATATAATACAGATCTCTGATGACAGGAACAGCCACTGCTTTTCCTGAGCTTCTCAGCAAGGCATTTCACCATCTCAAAGTTGAGATTTTTTTTTTTTTCAGAACAACAAAATTTTCTTAGAAAGAAAAAAAAAAGCTATTTTCTTCACATTCTGGTGTTACACACACAGACGCTACGTAGGCCTGGGGATATAATGCAAGATATTTTTGAAGAATTTTTCAAGTTTAGCAAGTCTTTTGGTCCAGTAGGAATTCTCTTACACCAGCTCAAAACAAAGAATGCCCTACAAGCTTGTCTTTGAGCAGAAGAATTAATTTTTCTTTAGTTACAGTGTCCTGGATTCTTTCAGGACAGCCCATTGCACATGCTGCACTGTTTTTCCTCCCCATAGCAGCAGCTGGCTTAGGGAAGTGTAGCAAGCCCTAATCCTTTCCTGTCTCTGGTCTCCAGCTTTTGAGGCAAAAAAAACCCAAAACCAAACCACTTTAAGGGGTCTCTGTTGAGCTTGGCCAGCTGTTCTCTTCAAAAGGAGGGTACCGCAGGGTTTCCTTCAGTCAGAGGTGAGCAATATAGCTGCAGAATAGAAACAGTTTGCCTAGAGCCGTTACCTAAACACTCAGAAGTGAAGCAGCAGTAGGCTGGATTACTTGAGCTTGAAAAGGACCTGTTAGAGTTAGAGGTAGTCCTAGATATTAATTTAGCAGGCAGCATTTTTTTCATCTGCAGGAGAACATAAAGCAAATTGAAAAGAATAGATTCCCTTCCACAGGCTCCTAGCTAGCACAAGAGTTTTCCAGCATTTGGCTGAACTAGAAGCCTGAGGTGTGTCACAGTTCCCCCATTTGGCTGTTCCTGGGACACATGCAGGTCCACTCTGCTGTGGCTCTGGTGAGTCACACCATCACACAAGTACCTGCTGCAGCAGGGAGGCACACTGACAACAGCTTCTCTTGGATCCTTGCGAGTCACACACGGTAAAGACAGGTTTTGCATAGTTAGCAATGTCTTCTTATCTGTGCTGTTTCTGCTAGCAAGGACTTCAGCAGTCTTCTGAGGGCCCCACAGTTGCCAAGAGGCATTGTCCTTGACTATGGCAGCTGGGGCTTGTGAGGCTGCTCTGTGCCACTGTGTCCATGGCCCAGCAACGTCCTCATCTGCTACAAACACTGCCCAAGCACGGCCTGTGCCCTTCTCAGGACAGATAATGATTTCCATCCTCAGGCTAAGCAGGCAGGAGTAGCCAAGCTTAAGCTGTTTTATGGCTTCTCTTGTTCTTACGACTGTGTGAATTTCACCTTGTCACAGAAATCCAACTGTGTAAAAATATATAATTATGCCTCTGACTCATCTACTTGGACACACACCCCATTCACACACACCTACGCACACAGCGTATGCTGCTGAGCTAGATGTGCTACACATGTGAATGCTACCATGGCTTGTATGTTAAAAGTCTATTTTTTCCCTCCCCCAACACTATAAATAGTTAGAGATTTAAACCAAAATACACCTAGAGGCATTCAGTCCCCTCCTTCCCTCTTTTCTCTTCTTGGGAGAGACCAGCCAGATGCTGTCTCTGGGACCAAGCTGCTTTGGGTCACTAGCCACATACCAGAGTCACAGGCAGCATAGCACTCAGAGCCCTCACCTTCTCCGTCTCTCCTCTCAGCCAGGACAAGCCAGCTTTCCGGGAAGTGATCTCACAGCTGGAGCTGGATCCCAAGTGCAAAGGCCTGTCCTTTTCTTCCTTCCTGATTCTGCCATTTCAAAGGATCACTCGGCTCAAGCTGCTGGTGCAGGTAGAGATTTGCTCTTGTCTCTCTCCTGAATGTCTTCTGGATCACTCCTGGAATGCTCCTATTCAGCAGTTGTGACTGAGGCTTAGACACAGCCAAGATCAACCTTAGAGCTGGATGAAGGATGAAGCCTTTCCACAGAATCACATAACAGAGATTTCAGTGACTCAGAAACCATCCCCAAATTAGTGTTTAATTTCCCAGATGGCTTTTTCTGAGCAAAAGAATTGAGGAGGAACTTTGTCAAGCTGTTAGAAGGGGTAGCAACAGTCCATTAACCCAGCTGCCTGCTGTTTAGGATGCTGACACACATATGCATAGTGCAGAACAGCTGCAGGACGTGGAAATGCTCCCTGTGTAATACCCAACATCATGGTGGCTTGGATCAGACTCTGTCACCCATCTTCCCCCTGTGCTTTGCCAGCTTGTCTAAACAGCGTGCTGGAGGACATGCTTCTAGGGGTGAGGAAACAGCTCAGTCCCAAATGGTATCACCCAACTGGGATTACCAGTAGCACTGTCTGTTAGTGCTAGCTCTAGCTATTTTTATTTATTCATTTATTTTTAGAAAATAGGAGTCTGCCTGCTATGTTTCTCTTAGATATAAGGTCAGATGGGAACAGGCTTTAATGAAAAAGAGGAACTAAGAGGTGAGAGTCACTGTCTTCTTGTCACCTATCTTGTAATTAGGCTGATGGCTGGAAATAACTCTGAGGCTAGCAAAGACCTTTCTGTGCTGTCAGATTGGGATCAGAGTTAACACAGCCTTTCCTCCCCTACAGAATATTTTGAAGAAAGTGGAAGAGAAGTCTGACAGGGAAACCACTGCCCTGGATGCACATAAAGAACTGGAAACAGTAAGTTTGAATGAGATAACTGAAGACCATTAAGATTAAACTATCATGTTCATTTCCCCTGAGAAAAGACCTACATATTATGTTCACTCCTGGAGCTGCCCCTTTGAATCCTGTCACTGTATTTCAAGAGTAATTTTTTTTTCTTAAGTCTTCCTTGCTTTCAGAGATGGACCGATCTAGCAGCACTTAGATGTCAGTGATGAGGAATCCCCTTGCTAACAACAGATCTGTACGTTTCTGCTGTAGGAAAGGGCAGAGAGAATATTTTCACTTGGACTCTTCAAGAATGCAAATTGTTTTTGCAGATACCTGAAGGTGATGGATCCCACTGAGAGATGTAATTAGCAGCAACAGGCAGTAGAGTACAACTGTGTCAGGTTTCCTCCAATACAGCACACTTCTTCCTCTGACCTAGAATAACAGTTTCTTAATGAAGTACTCAAGCCTGAAGCTGGTAGGTAGGCATGGTGTTCAGCTGTGCTGGTTACTGCTGCATACAAAACACCAGGAAGGCATTGTGATGTTTTCCATCTGAGCTGTTCCTGACATGGTCAGACAGAACAATCCCACCTCCAGGCCACATATCTGAATGATCTGGATGTAGCTGGCAGCTTTGTGGGCTGGGATAGGGCATGTTTGAACCCTTCTCCATCAGAAGCTTGGAACATTTCTTGACTCCTGCAGTTCAATGTAAGTATTTGAAATTGAAAACTGTGCTAGAACATCAGCCTGATGATATGGTTGCAGCTTCTGACTAAAATACCAGAGCAAAATGGGCTCTTGGAAGTGTATGCTTTGGAGATCAGTAAGGATAAAGACAGAGACCTTATCAATGAAGAATATTCTGCATTACTTAGTATTTGCAGAATCTCTTGTGATGTATCAGGTAGCCAATTGTTTCTACATTGGTCAAAAGCCTGAGGAAGGCTGTTCCTGTAGTACACAGATGACTACAACTGCTGATGGAAAAATGCTCTTTTTATATTCAGCTGTCAGTGGCTCGTGATCGATTTCATAACTCCCATTGCATGGTTACTCATCTGTAAGTGTTTGATGCCTAATGTCCAGCTAGGCATCACAACAGAGATCATCTGGTGCTTATTTTCTCTGTAGGTATCCTATTTGAGAGGTAAGCGCTGGTCATGGTTTCAATTCCTGATATTCTGGTGGATTTTGAGTAGCAGAAACAGAGCACAAAGTGGAGCTTGTTCTCCAAAGTAATTTTTCTACCTAGCCAGTTCTCTCTCTTGAGAACTGTTGCTCCTTATGAAAGAGACAGTGGCATCTAGGTTAAGGTCCCTGTAATAGGGTAGTGCCTGCACGTTGGTTGTGGTTTTTCAGTTAAAAAGCTTGTACTCGGAACACAGCCAGGCTCTGTATGATGAATGTCTCTTTCGATGGGACATTTCATAGCCTTGGCATCTGGTGCTGTTTGGCAGAACCACAGCATTTGCATCTTTGAAATAAAAATCTTTAGCTTCATTCTGTTCATGAAGATGGTGCTATGTGTGTACTTCATTTGAAGTGTTGGGGATGAGGAAGATGATATATATTGTGTGTCAGGATCCGGAAAATGAGCTGTTCCCTTTGCTGTGCAGCCAGGAGTCTTGGTTAATACTGTCTTGTTCAGTAAATGAATGCAGCCATCTAACATGTCCTCTGATAGTTAACTTCCAGGTACAACATCTTCTGGGTAGTTGAAGTTATTTTTCTTAATTTTTTTTCTTTCTTCAACCCCGCCCCACCCTGCTTTTTTCATGCAAACACAGTGCTGCTAGAAGAGCTTGGCTGGGTGAATTCCTGTTACAGCAGGGCACTTGCCCTGTCACAGTCAGGCCTTTCTGTGCTGTCTGTCATCACTTACCTGTGTAAGGCCAGTGGAGGCAAACTTTCTGCTCTCTTTTTCCTAGGTGGTGAAAGCATGTAACGAAGGTGTCAGGAAGATGAGCCGAACAGAGCAGATGATCAGCATCCAGAAGAAATTGGAATTTAAGATCAAGGTATAAGCATAGGCTAGTAACCCCTTGCAGACAGCGAACCAACAGCATCCAGGAGTTGTGTGCACATAGACAGTAGTGGTAACCTAGTTGCGCTCCTTTTAGTGAGTGTTCAGTGGTGGCCTGGTCCGCGCTGTTCCACTCCAAAGCTGTTGAAGGGGCTGCTGCTGCTGCTGCAGGCACTGCATCTGAGTGCGTGGTCTCCATGCCTGCATGCTGCAGAGGCCAGAGGCAGCACTGAGGCCATCGTGTTGTGCGCATACACAGGTGTGACACAGTGGCATCAAGCCGCCCGAGCACAGTGGATGGCTCCTGCTCCAGCACTCAGTTCTGGCTCTTCCCTCTCACCTTTCTTCAAAATGCAGGTCAGCTTTCAGCTGTTATTTTATATTACAAATTACGTTAAAGGAAAATGAAAGCTACAAAACAAAACACTTCAAAGCTGTAAAATACCAAAATGAAGACTGACCCGCCCTTTTAATTGATTCCTGCATTTATACATTATGTAGAGTCTCTAATTACCTGTTGATGATCTATTTTGGCTCCACTCAGGGAATGACTGAATCAGTATTTAGGGGTGTCTGACCAGACCTCATTTAATATATGCCATAAAACTTCAGAGCTGAGTATAAAGTTGCCAGTGCTTTTCCTGAGTGCTATGGAGATGCTTCTCAGATCTTGTCTGCTTTGCAAACTTTAAGGAGCATATTTAGCTTTCCAGCAAGTTTTTTATGTACCTGGACAACTGAAGTGAAAAAAATTTGAGACAATTTGTTTGGAAAGCCACACTGGGTGCCCAAGAATTTGATTTTCGAGGGCACTTTACCTGTGCGTCAGAGCTAGACCACAGTCCACAGGACAGCAGTAGAGTGGAGTAGTTACAAAACTGCCTTCATCTCTTGTAAAACTGAGGCTGTAATGACAGGCAGAGCTGGTTCATCCCTGGAGCAGGTCTGCCTTGGGCACTGGCAAAAGGAGTGCAAGAATGTGGAAAGAAAGAGTGTGCCACCATGCATGTGATGAACACAGGGAGAGAGTGAAGATGGAAAGAGGAGCAGTTATGCAGATGTTTTCCAGTATTTCAGTCATTTGACTAGAAGTGTAGTGTTCTAGTGTCAGGTGTGCTTTGTTCTGGGCTTCTTGTTTTTAACACGATATGTGGTAAAACTCCAGAAGTGCTGTGTGGCTGCACTGACAGTATCTCCTGCTGTCTGGGGCAGACCTAACCAGTGAGAGCCCGTTTAACATGATTTTTATTTATTTATTATTTTTTTTTTTTAGCCAAAAGGCCAAATGCACATTTTTGAAAGTCAGTCTTCCTGGCTAGAAAGGCTCAGCCCAGGTGATAAGACATAGGATCTCCCAGAGACAGATCAGGCTGTGCAAGGTGTAGCCTGTGTTGAAATCAGCTTTTGGCACTCCAGCATCACTGTCCTTGAGTGTTTGTTTGTTCTCAGGGTCCCTGTCTGAGCCGTTATACTCTGTGCCAGGCTGCAGTGTGGATGGCAGAGCACACTGCGCTCTCTGTGCAGCTCTGCTCCATGCTCTGCAGTGCAAGTTGTGGCGGTGGGAGCTCATTACCCTTCCTTTTGCATCTCCTCTTGCTCTCAGCATCTTGACCACATAAGCCCACGGGTTTTTGCTGCTGTCCTGATCTTTGCCATCTTTTCCTCACTTCTAGTCTGTGCCCATCATTTCTCACTCCCGCTGGCTGCTGAAGCAGGGGGAATTGCAGCAAATGAATGGTCCAAAGACATCACGAACGCTTCGCACCAAGAAACTCTTCAGAGAAATCTACTTGTTCCTTTTCAATGATCTGCTGGTAATTTGCCGGCAAATTCCTGGGTGAGTGCAAAATTTGGGTCGTATGCAGGGCACTTCATTACTTTTATTTGCCCCTGGGTTTATCTGAGCTGTGATGTCCATCCTGTCCCCCAGGCACAGGGAAGACATCCTGGCCTGACCTGTACACCCCACTCCAGCAGTCACCTTGACTTTGAGCACAGTGGACTCTTCACGAATGGCACAGCTCTCTCCATCTGAAAATTATGGCAAATAGGACTTGAACAGATTGCAAGGCCAGGTCTCCCAGCAGAGCAAGCGAGCATATATCCACCAGGTTCTGCAGAGTGGCAGTGAGCTACGTCAACTGGTGGGCTGACCCAGGAGGCCTGTTTTCCTGTCAAGAAGTGATTTTTGACTCATCGCTGCCTGAAGAACAACAGCTCAGACTTAGTCAGTTAAAATTCTAAGAAAGCAGGCTAGAAAATTTGAGCAGCAGGGAGGGGTATAAATTTAGGCCTGAGGCTAGTAATATTTGGCATGGTGTAACCTGCCTCAGGAGGAGGAGACCACCATCATGTTTAGGACCATGTCTTGTGCAAGTAGGCACTAGTGAAATAAAGCAGCATAAACACATGGCACCCAGAGAACAGCAGGTTCTTTGTAGCATTAACTAGACTCACCGGTAGAGAGCATCTCACTGGTCCAACGTTTCTAATGAACATGTTGCTGCAGTGTCTGTGTGCCTGGAAATATTTTGCTTCTGCAGCAGCTTGTATCCAGAAAACACAGACACATTTCACAAATAGGAATGAATTAAGCCTCACAGTCCCCTTTGAGGGAGCACCGTCTGTGTTTTGTACATGGGGAGCTCAGACACAGCAAGCAACTTGTTCTAGGCCATGTGAGATGTCTAAGGCAGAGCAAGGAGAGGGTCTCTTGCTTTGCGGTGGGTTTTCATAGCCACCCGCTCATCCCTTCCCACAGTGGGACATCTGTTTTCCTCCTGCCATGCAGTGGTTCTTGGTCTGTGGACTCAGTACAGTTCTGGGCAGCTGAAGCCAAAGTCTCCAGGGATAATTGCAGTTTTTCTTAATCTCCTCTAACCTCTCACAGGGACAAGTACCAAGTGTTTGACTCGGCTCCCCGGGGACTTCTTCGGGTAGAGGAGTTAGAAGACCAGGGACAGAGTTTGGCCAATGTCTTCATCTTGAGGCTGCTGGAGAATGCAGATGAGCGGGAGGCCAGCTACATGCTGAAGGCATCGTCCCAGTGAGTACAACAGTCACCCTGCCCGCGCTTGGCACTGCTCCCTCCCTACACCCCTGCAAGGGCAGCATCCTGCCTGCATGGGGACCAGCTCTCCAGGTTTACCAGGGTCAGGCAGGCAGAGATCCCACTGCTGCAGCTGG